GAAATTGGTAAACTTCTGAAAACTGCTTCTAAATTTCTTAAATATCTCAAATCCTTATCGCATTGGACGATAGAATGACCAGACAAACGTATATGTGTATCCTTCTCATATGTTGAAATAAGTGAAATTCTCAATTTTTAGAAGTCAATCGGCTTATACAATCACATCCTCAACAGCAACGGGCGATTGGAATCGCAAGCGAGCCGAAGAAATACCCTATCCAAACGAGTGGCCAAATGCGATTGTGCCTCAGATGGGCACGTTCAAACCGAAAATTCCGTTGTTGTCCTCACATACGAAAGAGAATATTCGACGAGACAGCAGCCACAACACCAATAAAACCAACAATAACGTTCGGCTGAATGGACTCAATTTACATTCCAACGGTTCATTTCTCTCGTTTAAATTGTCTTTTTTCGAAGTTTCAAGACGAAAAGACGACTCGCTACCCTCTAAGCTTTAACAAAATCAGCAGCAGCTTATCAGAATGACAATTTATCCCCGTCTTGTTTAGAAAATGCACAATTTGTGGTTTCAATTACAATCTCTGAAAATATACTGAGTGAGAGCCCAAATAAGCTCCAGTCATTTTCCAACCAGTATGCAAATAAACGCATAAATCGATAAGCTGAATCTGAGGACTGTCATCTACCAATATCGGATTTAGCATTATTTCATTGATTCCTTGTCGCTGCCAGTGTATTCTGAATTGCAATTAGATCAAGTGATAGCTGATAATTGATTATCAATATTTGCAAAATTTCAGTACGTAACATTTCCAAACCCGCTATCAAACCGAAGCCACTCGCGCTGAGGCGTGAACGCAGCGACTTGACCGGTTCAACGTCAGCACGTCGTCTCGCCTATCACGCTGAAAATCATAGCCCTGGACCATTGTGTTCATCACCGAGACGTGCTCTGCTACCACCATCCGATAGCTTGGATGGAAATGCTTTAATAGGATGTTTGGAGGAATTGAAACGTAAAAGGTACACATAGCAAATCGCACACTTTCAGTTATTTCCACCCTTTATAATTCCACAGAACGGAGCATCCGTTATGCCTTTGAAGGCAACTCGTACAATTCTTCGAAGTCATCGCTTGTATGACTGATAGCCATATCGATAACTTTCTTAATCGCTTAAAAAGAACATCTCAACGAAAGAAAATCTGAGCAAAGTATCTCAAAGAAAGGATATTCCTGGACGAAAGGATATCTTTTATCCAAGGAATCTCCCACATGATAAGCAATCCTCCATCGAGAATCTGTTATCTTGACAATCTGTTTGATCAAAATCAAAGTCGGTTCGATCTCAAAAGCTTTTGCTCGCTGAATTGATCTCTCCATTTTCATAAATTAAACAAAACGATACGTAATTGCCTAGAGCATGAACAAATCCGCAAGATAATAAGAACATCTCGCCTTTTTAAATCCTTTTTCGATTATTCACTCACTTAGTGAGGATTAATTCAAAGGATCCCGATAATGTCGTTGACAAGAATAAACGATAATATAAGTAAAATGCAAATTGCATTTATGCATTCACCTCTAATGTTTACCAGATAGGTAGTCATAAATTACATCGTGAATAATGAATAGAATAGAGTTGTTGATGAATGTGATGTAGTAATATTCGATTAATATAATAATATTGTTGGGTCAAAGGATCTCATTTATCTCTGTGTATATGATTGGGTTTTGGACAGATATTGCAGCTGAATTGAGCAGATAGGTAGAATAAATGATGCTCAGATATATAGAATTCATTGACCGGTATCATTGATCAACGGTCACTCTGATACTTTCCATCATCAGTTACTTCATTTCTCTTCGCATTTTTAATAATATTCTTATTATAATTTCCAATATTTTTGTCGCCATTTTCATTACTCTTGTTTTAGTATTGAAATTGTCATTGTTAATTGTTTAAAAATAATATTTTAATATCAGTACTGGACGTTGTAGTATTCATGTAATATCGATATGTTCA